AGCAGCAGCAGCGTCTTCGAAAGGGGCCCCTTGGGCGCGGCCGAGAGCCCGCTGCACGGAGAGGCCGTGGTGTACATACACCTGACGGCAGCACACCATCAGCAGCAGGAGCAGCAGCAGCAGCAGCACCAGCAAGAACAACATTAGTAAGGTCTATGCGGAAGCCTCGGCCTCCCTCTGTTACCTTAGAAGAAGCAGCAACAGCAGCAGCAAAAGCAGCAGCAAAGGCAGCAGCAGCAGCAAGAGCTTGTTCGATCCACGACTCCCCTAGCTCTCCTGCTGCTGCATGCAGCGACGCGTGCTCTCTGGATACATCAACAGCAGCAGCATCGGCAGGAACAGCAGCAACAGGCTCTGAAACATCAGCAGCAGCAGCAGCAGCAGCAGCAGCAGCAGCAGCAGCAGCAACAGTGCCACCGAAGGATAGTGTCTCCTCTGGAGTGTCTCCACTTAAATCAAGCTTGTCTCTTGGGGCCCCTGCAGCAGACAGCGGGGACAACCCTTTGTGCCCTCCTGCCTCTGGATCGAGTTGGGGGCCCCATACAGGGGCCCCCCCATCACAGACAGGGGAGGGAGGCCCCCCCCGTTTGGGGGGCCCCCAGAGCTGTGGGGCCCCACAGCAGTTCTATATATACACCCCACCAGGGGACAAAGGGACACCCCAAGTGTCTCCTTGTCTCCTCTCTGGCAACGAGCTTAGCTCTGTTGCTGCTTCCTCTCCATGTAACGACAGTAGCTGCAGCAGCAGCAGCAGCACCAGCAACAGCAGCAACAACCGCAGCAGCCCATTAAAAAATAGTTGCTGCATGCAACAGGAAGAAGATGGCAACAATGCAATCCCTTCGGCTCCTCTGAAGCCCTCGCCTTACTACCCCGACAGTCAGCAGCAGCAGCAGCAGCAGCAGCAGCAGCAGCAGCAAGACAGGCAGCAGCAGCAGCAGCAGCAACCAGCGGTCCCAGCAGGATTCACAGCTGCATTTGGCTCTGTGCATCCGACAAGGCTGACGCTGCCCTTGCTGCGGCGAGGATCGCTACAGCAGCAGCAGCAGCAGCAGCAGCAGAAAATCAACTACCCGCCTGCGTTGCTGCTGCCCAAGATAGAGCAGCAGCAAGAAGATCCATCTGTCTCCACAGACTTGTCTACAAATGTCCAGACACCCCGCGGCTCCTTGTGTGCAGCCGCACAGCAGCAGCAGCAGCAGCAGCAGCAGCGGCAGCAGCGGCAGCAGATGCCGGCCGGCTTAGTTGAGTCAAGGGGGGAAACCCCAACTGCAGCAATTACACCTGCTGCTGTTGCTGCTGCGAAGCAGCAGCAACAGCTCTTGCACATGCCCGGGGTGCCGCAGCGGCTCGCCAGCTGCCCTCCACAGGGGCAGCAGCAGCAGCAGCAGCAGCAGCAGCAGCTGTTGCTGCTGCAGCCCACAGCCGTGCTTGTGCCTCAGAAGTTACCAGTTGCTGTTTGCCCCTTCCCTCTTCAGGACCAGCAGCAGCAACAACAGCAGCAGCAGCAGCAGGCAGCAGCAGCATTAGTGTGGACTCCACAGCTGCCGCAGCAGCAGCATGTGCCTGTTTGCTGCATGTCTCCAGTAGCAGCAGCAGCAATCCCTCTAAGGCCTGCAATGGCTGCTGCAGCATACAATGCCCTCAACCTTCTCCCTGCAAGAAGGCAGCAGCAGCAGCAGGATGGAGAAGCGCAGGCTGTTGTTGCTGAGCACCACCGCAGCTACAGGGATATGCTGCAGCAGCAGCTGCTGCTACAGAAGCATTACTCCGAGTTGTTAAAACAGCAGCAAGAGGTGCTGCTGCAGCACAAGCAGCACCATAACTCATGGCGTCTGCAGCAGCAGCAACGGCAGCAGCAGCAACAACAACAACAACACTAGCAGCAGCACAAAGATCCCATAGTTGTACAGCACCTGGCAGTTGCACTTACAGCAGCAGCCGCAGCAGCAGCAGCAGCAGCACATTGCTGCTGTTGTTGCCTTCAACTTAAGGCCACACTACCGTGGGCGAATTAGGCCCGCGACAGCAGCAAGAGCAGCAGCAGCAGCAGCAGCAGTAGGTACTGCTGCTGCTGCTGCTATCTTGTGGGGCCGGTGTCTTTCTTTAGCAGAGACAATGCAATTGCAGTCTCTAAGATATTTGTTGTCAGCTAGCCAGCAGCAGCAGCAGCAGCAGGAGGGGTACTGCAGCAGCTAGCTGGGGGTCGTGTTAGCCAGGGACCCCATTAGATAGGATAACGCAGCTATAGTCAGCTAGCTAGCTAGCTAGCTTCTTGTCTAGCTTAGTAGCGAGTTAAGTGCCTAAGGAACTGGCTAGCTAGCTAGCTAGCTGGGGCAGAGTCTATTTGGACAGCTAGCTGGATGGCTAGCTAGCTAGCTAGCTAGCTGGGGTATTTGGTACCTCCATAGCTTGCTGGAAGGCTAGCTAGCTAGCTAGCTAGGTAGCCAGGTAGCTGAGGCATTGGGTACGTGGACAGGTAGCCGTCAAATAACTAGCTAGCTAGCTAGCTAGCTAGCTAAGGATATTAAAGGTCTAATGCCTGTAGGTCTGGTTGTCCTGCAAGGACAGAGGTAAGGGTTGTCTCCCCTATAGGCCTATAGGCCCTATCTAAGGGCCGTGTCTCTACAGCAAGACACTGCATGCTGCTGCCTGCAGCAGCAGCACTGCAGCAACTGCAGCAACTGCAGCAGCAACGGTGACGAACCACAGGAGACTCCTGCCAACGACCCGCTGCATCCTGCTGCCCACTCCATTGCCCACTACCCCCCAATGCATTGCTCCTCATTGACCTGCTGCTGCTGTTGCTGCTGCTGCTGCTGTCGGTGGGGGATACAAAGGGCTGCGGCACCGGCACCAACACCCGCCGCAGCTCCGTCCGCCCTGCAGACACAGCAGCAGCAAACGCAGGAGGATACAGACACAAACTCACCAGCAGCAGCAGCAGCGTTAGGAAGGGGATTCTTGCTGCAGCGCAACACCCAAGCCTGCAGCAACAGCAGCAGCAATAAGAGCAGCAGTAGCAGCAGCAGTAGCAGCAACAAGGTCGTACTTGGATCGTTGTTAGTTAGATGTGTCCCTGAATTGCTGCAAATAAATAAGTATTTAATTTCTAGCCAACGCCACGCTTGTAGTGTCTCCGCCTGCGGCAGCAAACGAGCAGCAAATACATAAGTTGCTGCTGCTGCTGCTGTTGTTGTTTTGTTGCTGCTGCTGTCACTGTTGCGGTAGGTCACGTGCACAGTAGAGACAGAGACAGCAGAGCAGCAGCAGGCAGCAGCAGCAGACTTAATAAAGTATCTCCTTACCGGGGCCCCACGCAATTCTGCATGCACTGACACAGCAGGCATCATCCCCGTAAGACGGCCAGCAGCAGCAGCACCCTAAGCAGCAAAACAAGGACACAGCAGCAGCAGCAGCAGCAGTTTCTCTCTTGTTGCGAAGTGATTGCTGCAGCATTCAACCACTACTGCAGCAGCAGCCAGCCTACAACAGCGGCAGCAACTATAACAGCAGCAGAAACAACAGCATCAGCAGCAGGAACAGCAGCAGCAACAGCAGCAGCAGTTGCAAGTTGCATACATCTCCTTCAACGACTGCCTGTGCAGCAACCCAAGGAAGAGGAGCAGCAGAAAAGAGACGAGGAGGCAGAGGCCAGCTGCAGCAAATGAGCTGCTGCAGCAGAAGCAGCAACCATCGAAGCAGGCATGCAGGCAGTCTGCCTGTTGCTGCGCCTTCAACAACTGGATCCCCTGCTGGTGCTGCTGCTGCTGCTGCTGCTGCTGCTGTTTTCCTCGGTGGTTCCTCCCACGTCAACAACGGCAGCAGCTGCTCATAAAAAAAGAACGGCCTTACTGACCCTGTTGCTGCGGCTGCTGCTGCTGCGCCTCCGGAGGAGCTGTTGCTGCTGCTGCTGCTGATTGTGCTGTTTTTGCTCTTGGAGTGCTCTGCAGTTTTTGTATCCCGGTCGCTGCTGCTGCTGCTGGAGCAAAGTGCAGCAAGAAGCTGCTGCTTTGCTGCAGCAGGCGAGGCAGCACATGCACAGAGCCAAATGCCCCTTAAGTCAACAGCAGCTGCATTGCTGCTGCAGTAACCCTGTAGCTGCTGCTGCAGGTCTTCTGCTGATTCTTGCAGCTCGTTGATGCCTTGCTGTAGCAGCAAGACATTGACGCTGTTGCTTGTGGTGCTGCTCTTGCTGCTGCTGTCACTGCTGCTGCTTGACGGGTCTCCCTTTACGGGCTTCTGCAGCGCACGCAGCTGCTGCTGTAGCGCATGCAGCTGCTGCTGCTTGGAGAGAATGAGACGCAGCAAACAAAAAGATGCCAAGAGAATTGCCGTGCGGCAGCAGCAGCACTGCAGCAGCAGCAGCCGTTTTGTCGTCTGGCAGCAGTTGCCCATCAGCTGTAGCTGCCTCTGGAAGCTGCAGCAAACACGAACAACAGCAGCAGCAGAAGCAGCAGCAAGTCTTGTTGTAGGTGGATCATGATATGCTACATACCTGTCGGCAACAGGAGGAACAATGATGTAGCAGCAGCAACAACAGCAACACCAGCAGCAACAGCAGCAACGGCAGCAGCAGCGTACAATTGTAGAGCCTCCGTCGCTGCCTGTCTAATGCTCTCAAGATCCACACAAAGGCCAGCAAACTCAGTGTCAGTGACGGCAGCAGCAGCAGCACCAGCAGCTATAGGAGCAGCAGCAGCAGCAGCAGCAGCAGCAACAGCAGCAGGAGCTGGATCGTTGTTTGGGCTTGGCAGACACTCAGGCCGATCTCCCACTGCCCGCTTTAGCCCTTCATCTTGGCAGCAGCTGCTGCTGTTAGTGCTGCTGTTGCTGCTGCTGTTGCTGCTGCTGTTGCTGCTGGTGTTGGTGTAGCCACAGCGGCGGAGTGCCTCGAGGCAAAAGGCAGCGAAGGAGTGCAAAAGGGAAGCAATCTTCATGCGGCCCTGCAGCAGCAACAGCAGCAGCAGCAGCAGCAGCAGCAGCAGACCAAATGCAGCTGTAAGGAGCACTGACGCTTTGAAAAAGGAAATGGAACAGGATCAGCAACAGCAACAAGCGAAGCAACAGCAGCAGAAGGTGCAGCAGCTAACCTCAACGAATGCAGCAAGAGGCGGTAGGGGAGGCGGGCTGCTGCTGCTGCGCGGCAGCTGCATGCGCCTGCTTCTGCGGCACTGGTGCAGCTGCTGCAGCGACTCTCTCCAGCAGCAGAAGGCTTTTCGCACTCCAGCACCAAGAGCAGCAACTGTCTCTTCATCTGCTGCTGTGTCACCAGTGCCTGATGCTGCTGCTGGTGCTGCTGCTGCTGCTAGAGTTGCTTCTGCAGGAGCAGCAGCAACGACAGCGGCCTCCGCGTCGACAGCACAAGCAAGTGCACTAAGCCATCTCTGGGAGGCAGCAGCAGCAGCAGCAGAAGCTAGTGCATGCAGCGCAGCAGCAGCAGCAGCGTGCTGCAGCCCCGTGATAGCAGCACAAACAGCTGCCTTGTACACAATGTTGATAGGCATCTGCGAGGGGTGTGTAATCGCAGCAGCTGCAGCAGATGCTGCTGCTGCTACAGCAGCTGCTGCTGGTGCTGCTGGTTTAGGTGTAGATCGACCCCCAGCAGCAGCAGGCCAAGCAATCCCGTGCAGCTGCAGCAGCTGCTGCAGCATCAGAAGCAGCGCCGAGCGATATGTGCCGATCCATTGGAAGTGCTGCTGCAGCGCATCAGTGGTTCCTTGCTGCTGCTGCTGCTGCTGCTGCGCTGCTGCGGCTGGAGTCACTCCCCAGAACACACAACCATCAGTCTGCTGCCGCTGTTGCTGCTGCTGCAGCAGCACGTGGCAGCGAGGTCCCTGCAGACCGGGTAGAAAACAGCTCTTGAGGTGTCTAGACAGCTGTGCAGATTCAAGATCTAGCAGCACGAGTAGCACGCCACTGCTGCTGCTGCTGCAGCCACCGCCTTTGTTGGAGGTCGTGCTGTTGCTGCTGCTGCTGTTGTTGTTGCTGTTGTTCTGCCCTTCCTGTTGCACAGACTCGACATGACCTGCGTCGATTCGGAAATGTTGCTGCAGCGACTGAGCTGCAGCTGCTGCAGGAGCAGCAGCAGCAGACACCACAGGCAGCAGCACTGTTTGCTGCAGCACATTTAAGGAGAGAAGAGGCAGCAAGGAGAGGGAAAGAGACCCGTCGTGGGGAAGAGACACAATGCGGATCTGTTGCTGCTGCAGCGGTAGGGGTTCCTGCTGCGGCACGCCATAGGTAGCAGCAGCAGCAGAAGCAGCAGCAGCAGCTGGTGCTGGAGGCAGCAACTCTTCTGCTACTCGGCAGGCCAAGAGGGGATTGCGCATGCAAAGCAAAGCAAGACTCTCAGCAACAGCAAGTGCCAGCGCCTCCTGCAGCAGCAGCAAACAGCAGCAGCAGCAAACAGAAGCAGCAGCAAACAGAAGCAGCAGCAACCACAACGGTACGATAACAGCAGTTAAGGGATTGGAAGGGCCATAGAGGGGTAATAACAATAGCAGCAGCAGCACACAGCAGCAGCTGCAGCAACAGCAACAGCAGTAGCAACAACACGATAAGCAGCAGCAGCAGCAGCAACAGCAACGGCAACTGCAGCAGCAGTAACAGCAAAGACACCGTCACTTCTTACTCTCTGTCCCTCTGGTGTCTGGACAGACAAACGGCCCCTCTTGCTACTTCTGCTGTTGCTGCTGTTGTTGCTGTTGCTGCTGCTGCTGCTGCATTCGTCTCTCAAGAAGAGCAGCAAACTGGCAATCGCCTTAAAGACAAGCACTGTCATTTCATCCTCAGTTTTGCTGCTCATCTTCGATTGCTGCTCTCCAGAATCCTGTTGCTGCTGCTGCTGCTGCTGTTGTTGCTGCTGCTGCTGTTGCTGCTGCTGCTGTTGCTGCTGCTGCTGGTGCTGCTGCTGCAACAAAAGCTGTTGTTGCTGCTGTGCTACGAACTGGCAGGACACAATAGCAGCAAGGACGCGGACTGGCAGAGGTTGCTGCAGCGATATCAGAAGCGGCAGCAGCAAATGCCGCAGCAGCTCTCCCACACTTTCGGTGCTGCTGCTGCTGCTGCTGCTGCTGCTGTCACTGCTGCTGCTGCTACTGTTGTCGAACCCGTCTAAAGGGAGAAGGCAACAGCGAAGGTTTAACAATGTCTGAGCAGCAAAGCAGTCATACGCCGTGGCATTCGTTGCTGCTGTTGCTGCTGTTGTTGCTGCTGTTCCTCCGTCTTCAGCTGCTCCAGTAGTTGCTGCTGCGCGAGTTGCTGCTGGGCTGTCACTCACGCCTAACGAAGCAGCAGCAGCAACAGCAGCAGCCACACCAGATGTATGGGAAGTAATTCTTGCTGCAGCGAGAAGCTGCTGCATGCGCTGTGAGCTAAGGGAACAAGATGATGCCTTGCAGCAGCAGCAGCAGCAGCAACCTTTGGTGGTCCTTTTGCTGCTGCTGCTGATGGGACCTGCAGCCGTCCCAGCAGACCCTTGTGGAGGTGATCCCAGTTGGCTGGTGGTGCTGCTGTTACTGCTGGTGCCGCTGCTGCTGCTGTTACTGCTGGTGCTGCTGCTACTGCTGCTACTGTTGCTGCTGCTGCTGCTGCTGGAGGGAGGCTGCACCCGCATGCGTTTACAAGGGCCTTTGTCTTCTAATGTTCCTTTCTGTAGCTGCTGTTGGTGGTCATCCAACTGCTGTTGCTGCTGCTGCTGTTGCGGCTGCTGTTGCGGTTGCTGTTGCGGCTGCTGTTGTTGCGATTGCTGTTGCGGCTGCTGTTGTGACTGTTGTGATTTCTGTTGTTCTTGTTGTTGTTGTTGCTGCTGCTGCTGTTGTTGTTGATGCTGCTGCTGCTGTTGCTGTTGTTCCTCCTGCAGCGGCGGTTGTGGCTGCTGCTCAGGTGACCCCGGAGGAGATGCTGTAGAAGACAGTTCTCCTTCCTCGGACTGACAATCCTCTTCCTGTTGCGGCCACAGTTGCTGCTTCTGCTGCTGCTGCTTCTGCTGCTGCGATGGTTGCTGCTGCAGCGATGATTGCTGCTGCAGCGATGGCTGTTGCAGCTGCGATGGCTGCTGCTGCTGCTCCGCCGGATCCTGATGCTGCTCCTCAGGCTGCTGATGGTGCTCCTCTGCACGCTTCTGCTGCTCCACCTGCTGCTGCTGCTGCTGCGCTGGCTGGTGCTGCGCTGGCTGGTGCTGCACTGGCTGGTGCTGCGCTGGCTGCTGCTGCACTGGCTGCTGCTGCGCTGGCTGCTGCTGCTGCTGCAGCACTTGCTGCACTTTTAATCGGCAGTGAAGGCACTCCGATGTCTGGTGTGGTGCCTGTTGCGCCGCCCGCAGCAGCAGGAGCAGCAGGCACTGGTAACGATGACGCAGCAGCAGCAGCAGCAGGGCCAGCTGCAGCTGCAGAGCCAGCTGCAGCAGCAGGATTGTCCATCGGAAGGTCGCGCTGCATCTGTCCTTGCTTCTCCTGCGGGGCCGCGGCTGCATTTAGCTGTTCTGATTGCTGCTGCTGCTGCTGCTGCTGCTGTGATCGTTGCTGTTGCTGCTCTTCTTGGGAGGGAGCTGCTGCACCCGCTGCATGTCCTGACATGCAGCAGTGGCAGCAGGGGCAACTGGCTTGCTGCTGCAGCGCTCCGCTAAGGAGGCCAAGAAGAGCAGCAACAGCAGCAGCATCTGCAGCAGCAGCAGCAGCACGCAGCCACCGCAAGACCTCATCTTGCGGAAGGAGACACAGAGCTGCTGCTTCGATTGCTGCTGATGATGCAGGAGCTAAAGGTTCTGTAGGAGCAGGCTGGCGTTGCTGCTGCTGCTGCTGCTGTTGCTGCTGCTGTTGCTGCTGCTGCGTACCTGCAGCAGCAGATGCTCCTGCGCTTGCTGCAGTATCTCTACCTGCCCCCGCACCTCTCGAGGCAGCAGCACGAGCCAGGCGAGCTTTAAGCAGCTTCTTCCAGTGATCGTTGTTGCTGCTGCTGCTGTTGCTGCTGTTGTTGCTGCTGCTGCTGCTTTCCGGTGTGCTGCTGCCTGACGCAACACCCCCAGAGTCAGCAGGAGAGCAGCAGCAGCAGCAGCAGAGTGCATCGGCAGGCACACTTGGGCCTCGGCGCTGTCGCTTCTTCCTCGCTGCTGCTGCTCTGGTTGCCGTCATAACTACTACCAGTTGCTGCTGCTGCAGCAACAGCAACTGTTGTGCAGCAGCTGCGGCTACTGACAGAGCTCCAGCTGCTGCTGTTGCTGTTGCTGCTGCTGCCGGCGAGCCACTGCTGCTCCGGCTGCAGCAGAGCGAGGCGGAGAGGACTGTACGGAGGCAGCAAACCTGAAGGACCACAGCAGCAGCAGCAGCAGCACCCAACAGGCAGCAACACTTAGCAGCAGCAGCAGCAGCAGCACTGCAGCAAACATCTCAACCAGAGACAAGAAGGTGTAGACAGAGCAGCTGCCTCTGTGTTCTCTACAATACATTTCACAGACGTTGCAGCAGCAGCAGCAGCAGCTGCTGCTGCTGCTGCTGATGCTGCTGCTGCTGCTTACCTGCAAAGGAGCCAAGAAAGGATTGGTGAGGGCGAGTTGTGTTGCTGCGCGCATGCAGCTACCAATAACACATAAGAAGGGCTCCTCCCAACTATGACGGCGCTGCTGCTGCTGCTGCTGCTGCTGCTGTTGCTGCTGTTGCTGCTGCAGTTGCTGCAGCAGCTGAGCAGACCTGTTGGCTAAGGCCCACAGCACCCTCAGAGACCACACAGCCACAGCCTGCAGCAACAAACAAACAATACTGCAAATATGCTGCTGTTGCTGCTGTTGCTGCTGTTGCTGCTGCAGTTGCTGCAGCAGCTGAGAGGACCTGTTGCTGCGGCGGGGGTTACTGTTGCAAGCACCTACATGTGCTACACCAATCAGCAGCCACAGCAGCAGAAGCCACAGCAGCAGCAGCAGCAGCAACAGCAGCAGCAGCAACTTACAGGGAGCAGCGGGGAGACACAGCCAAAGGCAGCAGCAAGAAGAGACAATCGATTGGCTAACGGAGGCAGCGAGCGCAGCGTAAGACACTGGAGGTCCTCCTGCTGCAGCTGCTGCTGCTGCTGTTGCTGCTGCAGCAACAGCAGCAGATCGGTACCTGAAGGGGTATCACCCATAGACACAGATCGCCGCTGCAGCAGCATCGCCTGCCGCAGCAGCAGCTGCTGCTCTGCTGCAGCAGGAGACGGTAAGACAGCAGCAAGACATAGCCGCAGCAAGGAGACACATAAGTCTCCTGATAGATAAGGGACAACTGCAGCAACAGCAGCAAGAGCAGAAGCTGCTTCTGCTGCATGCGCGGAAGTAGGAATGTACAGCTGCATGCTGGTGCTGCTGCCAGTGCTGCTGCTGCTGCTGCTGCTGCTGCGGCGTGGCGATTCGTTGGCACCAGAAGCAGCTGGTGACGAGCTGCGCACAGCAGCAGCAGCCGCAGCAGCCGCTGCTGCTGCAGCAGAAGGTGAAGATACACCTGAATAGCCTATGAGGTGCTGCAGCAGCAGCCACAAGAAGTGTGGCTGCTGCAGCACAAGAGCAGGTACCTTGCGCAGCAGCGCGAGGCCAATAAGCCGTGGCTGCTGCTGCTGCTGCTGCTGCAGTAGCCGCAGCAGCTGCTGCCTCACAAGTGCAGCAGCAGCTTCTTGGGTGGGCAGAAGCAAGGCAGGCAGCAAATGGCTGCAACGATGAAGTTGCCTATACACCTCAGCACGCACAAGGGCGTGCTGCTGCTGCTGCAGCACCAGATCTAGCAGCAGCACAATACACTGCGAGGGGATCGATCCCCCCAATATACTATAAGGGCAGCGGGAGCCATCTTCCTCCTCAGCAGCAGCAGCAGCTGCTGCTGCTGCTGCTGCTGCTGTAGCAGGCCTTGGCGCAGCAGCCCCTGAAGAGTCTTCTTGCTGCAGCAGCTCGAGCCGCTGCTGCAGCAGCTGCTGTTGCTCTGTTGCTGCTGCTTGGGTGTCTCGCAGCAGCAGCAGCGGCTGCCCACCTCTTCTAAAGGCAGCAGCACCAGCAGCAAACAGCAGATGACCAAGATCATGTACACACTGCAGCAGCTGCTGCAGTGGCAGCTGCCTCTGCTGCAGCTGCCGCTTTATCTGCAGCAGCAGCTGCTGCCTCTTGCAACCCTCAGCTGCAGCAGTTGCTGCATCTTCACGCTGCAGTTGCTGCTGCAGCTGCTGCAGCTGCTGCAGTTGCTGCCAATCCCTCTCCGCTGTTGTCGATGCTGCAGACTCCATGAGGCCCACCCTCCTGCTGCTGCAGCGGCAGCAGGAGGAGCTGCAGCTGCTGCTGTTCCAGCAGCTGCTGCAGCTTCTGCTGCAATTATTGCTGCTGCTGTTATGCTGCTGTTGCTGCAGTCTCGTCTGCTGCTCTCCACTCAAGAGCAGCAAACAGCAGCAACGGCGGCCTACCAGGGGCCGGCAGCTGCAGCAGCAGCAGCAGCAGCAGCAAAAGAATCCAAAGCCGCAGCAATCTAATTTGCATGCAAAAACAAAATCATTTCTGTTTTGATATATTTTACAAATTTTAACACCCCATAAGGGTACTGGGGGGCCCCCATTGGGGGCCCCCATGGGGGGCCCTCATCGTGGGGCCCCTGGGGCCCCCCTCCCCAGTACACCGAGGGGGCCCCTTCGCTAGTAGTAGTAAAAGCTATTATTGTTGCAGTGGTGCTCCTACTCTATTGCTGCTGCTAGAGCAGCAGCAGCAGCAGCTGCAGCAACAAGGTTGTGTTCCCTTTGTTTGGTTTATCAGGCAGCAACTGCAGCCGCAACAGCAGCAGCAGCAAGTGCTGCTGCTGCTGCTGCACTAGCAACAACAGTTTGCCAGCGGCTGCAGCAACGGCATCAGGAGCTACGGGCGGCTGCTAACCCTATAAACCCTAAACCCTAAACCCTAGGCGTACTCTATACTCCAAATCCTACCTAGAAACCCTAAACCCTAAACCCTAAACCCTAGTTGCCCACCTTAAGTCCAGATGCTCGCATACCTATATACTAAGCTTAGGCCTCCGCCATAAACCCTAACCCCCAAACCCTAAACCCTAAACCCTAAACCCTTATTTAGGGTTTCCGTGTTGAATTCTTTAACCGAAAACTTTTAGGGTTAGGGTTTAGGGTTAGGGTTAGGTTTTATGTTAATAAATAAATAAATAAATAAATTAAATAAATAAATAAATAAATAAATAATTTACTATTTATTTATTTATTTATTTATTTATTTAGTTGTTTACTTATTAATTAAAATTTTTTATTTATTTATGTTTTTGTTTGTTTATGCATTTGTCCCTTTAATTAATTATTAATTAATTAATAATTAATTAATAATTAATTATTATTTAATTTATTTACTAATTAATTTAATTAATTTAGTTAATTAATTAATTAATTAATTAATTAATTAATTAATTTATTTATTTATTTATTTAAAAGACGTAGACTAAGTTGTAGCACAACGTCCAAGAGAGAACAAATGTCTGAAAAACGCAGCAGCAGCA